ATAATAATAATAATAATAATAATAATAATAATAATAATAATAATAATAATAATAATAATAATAATAATAATATATATATAATAAAATAAATTTAATAAAAAAATATAAATACATATTTAATATAGTATAATAATTATTAAATTTCTAACTTAAAAAAATAATTTCTAAACTCTTAGGAATTATTAAAAAAAAAAAAAAAATACTATAATAAACTATAATAAAAAAAAAAACAAAAAAATTATTTAAAAATTATCGTGATATTATAAATTTTACTTTTCTTATAATAAAATATTCTTTTGTAATAAAAAAAATATATATAGATTGAAGAGATATAATTTAATTAAAAAAAAAATAATAATAATAATTCTAAAAATATATAGAAAACGAGAAAATAAAAAATAAAATAATAATATAAAATGAATGAATATAAATAATAATCAAATAATCAAATACAATCTCTTGACTATCTATAAAAATGTTGCATTACGTATTACAATAGAAAATATTGATTGTTTTAAAATGAACAGTTAAGGTTTACACGAATATTCTTGGTATTAACTGTACGTTAGTTAAATAATTGAATCGATAATGATATATTACCAATAAGATTTCATATTGGATAAGAAAATAACGGCTAGTGGCAATAGTGCTGACGACAATAATACAAACACATTTAAACATAGAGATATTCCGCTAGATTGAGAAACGATGATACAAGGATTGGATAAACTCATGTATGTATAATAATAACACTTATTAGCAATTATTTCTTTATTGCAGAAAATCTCGAGATCATACAAAGATCCTTGAGAAACGATTTCAAATCATTAAGAACAATCTCAACGGACACATTAATTGTGTTAATTCTTCGATAATCAAATCGTTTGATTTTTATCTCATCATTTTTTATTTATTTTGTTTTTTTGTTTTTATTGGTTTTACCTTTTTTTTTTTTTTTTTTTATATACACACAAAGTAAGGTGTATAACTGAACCAATAAAAACCACTAGTTTTATATAAATCTTTATTTATTGATAAGAATGTAAAAGAATATTAAAAAATAAACTTTATTATAAATTTTATTACAGTTAGAATTAAATGTCAGAAATATTTTTTCAATAATTAATATCTCCTCGTTCAGCACTGTTGCATATTATAGCACTTTATGTATATATTTGCATATGGTCAAAGTTAACAAAGAAATTAATTAATTCGACAAACTAATCATTTTTATTTACAACTTTTCCCGACTTATTTTCGATCAATATTTTCCAACAGTTTATTTTTGTATTTTATTCCTTTGACGATTATTCTTCTTCACGTCTTCCGTTTTTTTTTTTTTTTTTTAATTGATTTTACCTGTTCTCTTTCATATACATATGTATATCTTTACATATAGTCATAATTAACAAAGAAATTAATTAATTTGACAAACTAATCATTTTTATTTACAACTCTTCCTCTTTTCCTTCCTCAATTTATATTTTTAAATAGTTTTTTGTTTGTTTATTAATAACTATTATTCTTCCTCCCTCGATACTATTACAAAAAAAAAAAAAACAGCAGATAAAGCACGTGTAAAGAACGTGTTATACATATATATAAATAAATATAACATACGTACTTATCTTTACGATATAGGTGTGTCGAACGAAGAGTTGGATAAATATTCATCGGTAGGAGTGTGTTGTTCTATAAAAGATAATCGTACACGGTTCGTCCTTTGAACATTGACGCATTTCAAAGGAGCGTCTAAACATAGGACGAGACAATTTTCCACGCCCTCTCTCTCTCTATTGCAAATAAATCAATCTTCCTGATCATTAATCGATCGATTTTATAAGGAAATAATATGATCTAGCAATAGAATGTAAAACGTATATAATTCATCATGCATTTTATTAAAAAAAAAAAAATAAATAAATAAATAAACCGAAGAAAAAGAAAAATAAAACTAAAAATCACTAATTTTGAGATCCTAGAAAATAGTATTCAGTATATATATAATAATTATTTTTTTAACATGATATTAATTTTTTATTTATATTAAATATTTATATTAAATAATTTACATTTAATAATTAAATTATAGTTTCTATTGGATTGAAATAATATATAGATAAAAATTAAAATATAAAACATTTTAAATTTTAAAAAAAAATAACAATAATATAATAATAATAACAATAATAATAATAATAACATTCAAAATAATTTAAAACAATGATTGTTAACATTAGTATACAATTTTATTTGCTTTATGTTTTTATTTGAAATTTGTTTGTTTGATAATATTTTAATCAATTCTATTTTTAAGTAATGGAAATATTATCCTGTGTGGGTTGGATAATTCAATTGATAGTTCTTTAATTCGTAGTTCGTTCACGACAAGTGTAAATGATGTGAATTATTATCCGATATATCTATGATTTATATAAGATACTATAAACAATATTTAATATATATATATATATATATATATATATATATAAAGAGAAAAACTGATACAGTTATATTATGAAACACAATATTCAAACACCAATGGCAATTAAATATTCATTGTAAAGGGGTGTGCGAGTGACGAAGTGGTCAAACAAGTGTGACTAGAAAACACATACATACACATACTATATATATATATATATCTACATACATTGATATCTTCTTAATACGATAAAGAATATTTCATTGCTATTGTATAAACGATAAAGATCAATGAAAACGTAAAACGTAGTAAAAGTTCATTTAAAAGGACCTATTAACAAAAGAATGTAAAATTGTAAGATGAATTTTAAATTGTATAATAAAAATAGGAAAACAAAAAATGAATTCGTTAACATTTAACAAATGCGGACGTTGATGCGGAATTGAATAGAAGAAATGCAACATTACGGTTAAAATTCCGCAGAAAGTTTTCCACGAAAGAAAGTAACACTTTTCTTTCTGATTTCTTTTTTTTTGTGTTTTTTTTTTTGTTCTTACTGTACGAGTATCTGCTTTGATTTACTAATAAGGCAAAACGACAAATTCAATGCACTTTTTTGTTTCATTCTCTTTCTCTTTCTCTTGTTTTGTCAATTGCAAATGAAAATTAACGTTTAATAAAAATTAATTGTCATTGTGTAAAAATAATGAATTAGGTTTGTTCGATTGGGATTAATCGAATATGGAAATTTCGATAGGATTTCGAACAGAAATTAACGTCGTCTGTATTTCATGGATATTAACGTCAATAACTGACCTTTTTTAATATTTTACTAACTTTGTTTGGATTATTTTTTCAGTTCTTTTTTCTTGTATCTTATTGTTGTTCAGATTTAACGCTCAATGCTAATTAGTTTTAATTATATTATCTAATCCATAATCCTTGATATTTATTCTCATTCTCTAGGAACACTATTTAAAGATGAATCAAAAAATCAATTATAAGTTTTTTAAGATTATAAACTAACAACTATGAAACATGTTTGCATTATTTTTCTTTCTAATGCATCAATTAAAATTGCATTTAATCATTTCCTGAATTAAATTCAACGAGGTGTGGTGTTTGTGTGTGTGTGTGTGTGTGTATGTGTATTGTCGATGATAAAATGATGTAACAAGAAATAAATAAGAAAAAACAATTATTATATTTTGGACCAATGAAATTGTTTAAAATCGATATAGTTATAGTTAATGTCTTTTGGAAAAGTTATGATTGGTGAACGGATCAAAGCTAAAAGTGGGTTTTCCATAAGCTTCGAACTCCTCGGGCTGAGCTTGACGGGACAACAATGAACGTGCAACTGACAGAAAGGGACACTCTGTCATCCAACCTAGAAGAGGATTTTAATTATTACGAGTGCTCGCCATTGGTCGTACATGCGTAATCCATGAACTACGATATGGGAAATGTAACGGGTGTTTTGTAACTTATCAAATGTCGCTTATAGGTTTGAATTAGTTTTTTCTTTTTTTTTTGGAACTTCATTGAGTGTTAAAGTTAGAAAATTCATAATCAAAGACATGTAAAAATGTTTTCCTACTACATTGATGTATATAAATCAATTTAGAAATTTTATTTAAATATTAATTAGACTTAATTTATGTTGACATTAATGATTATTCAATTAATCAAATGATATCAAAATTGATATGCATTTTTATTAACGAAAATGTTGCTAATTTGTTGACAAATTTCAACACGTATTAATTGATTTCAAAGTTTTATAAAAAAAAAAAAAAAATAAATTAATAAGAATTTATCTTGGAATTAGTTGATTTTTCTTCACTTTGTTGCACGAATATCGACGTTGAAATAGATGCTTTTCTTCCTGCAAGGTTGCAACTTGTCTCAGATATTAAATTACAAAAATTGCAACATGCACGCATTTGATTAGGAATAGTTTCATAAAATCTCCATCAGGTTTAATTACCGATTTTTTTCTTTTTTTTTTTTTCCTTTTTCTTTTATATCGTTTGTTCAACGATACCAGTGTTGAAATAACATGCTTGAGATTTTCTATATCGATGCAAGTTGTTTCTAATACTGAATTGAATAAATGTCAACATTATTATACTATATGCATATATTATTCTTAATTTTCATAAAATGAACATTAGATTTTTTATTTGTCGTTTTATTATCGATCTTTTTTTTTGTTCACATTTATTCTATGAAATTGTAAGTTGAAATATGTGAAACAATTTTTCTTTTCTCTTTTTTTTTTTTTCCTATAAAACGACGATACTTGTTTCTGGTATTCTTAAGAAGATAAATTGTAATAACGCGTATAATTAAATAAATCGGTGAATAAATTGTATCACGTTTAAAAATGTATATAAGACTCTAATCTGATTAACACAAACGCGCCGCAAAAAGATAAATAACATTTCTTGAGAAAGCATCTGACCAGTATTGACCTTGATCGTTCAATTAAACGTTGGATGGACATCAAAGGACACCGGATGTTTGTAAGAGGTTCTCTCTTTCTTGATGGTTTCACTTTCCCTTTTTTGCCTTCCGGCATTTATGTCAATTTCGTGCTGTTAATTTTTCTTTATTCTATATTTTCTATATATATATATTATATCTTTCACATCTATCAACACAAAAATACACACATGAACATATTATTAGTTTCTTCATTAAGCATTTTATTTTTTCTTTAGACAATACTGTACAATCAGAAATCGTGCATACTTGTAATTTCGTAATCGGGTCATTGTCATGCAACGTTCTCTTCTTCTCTCTCTCTCTCTCTCTCTCTCTCTCACTTTTATTGGACATGCACGTATCATGTTTCGTTTTATTATTTAAAAAAGGATAATATATCTAGATATTTTTTAATACTTTTATAGAATATTAAATAATTCGTGCTAATGCACCTGTGCTTAAGAAAATAATTTCAACCTAATATGGTAAAATAATACAAATCTTGATTACATTCGAATAAGCTATGATTATTGATAATTGAATAATCAACATGATAATTATTAAAAATTAATTTACCATATTATAATGAAATTTTTATAAATAATTGTTGAATTTATTTCAAAGGAAATAGAAATACTATTTATCCGTGACACAGAGAATCGTTAATAGCATTTCTATGAGACGGCAATTGACTCTCAATGAGTTCAAGGATAGTTCATTTATCCCGTTCCGTTCTTTCTTTGTTACATGCCTAATCATTAATCGGTTAAAAGTCATCGGAGCGTGTTAATTTTGTCGTTAGTCGAGTAATAAATATGAAACTTTTGTTAGATTCGAATGTTTCCAATGAACTTTTTTTCTAAGTTAACCTACAATTGGAAACAATTTAAGGTTATAATACTCTTTAAAAGATGATTTATGATATAACAGTTAGATATAATAATAATTCATTGTATTGCACCATAATAAGTTTAAATTGAAGATTAGAACAAAAATATGTCCAAATTGTTATGATTCTCTTGCAAAATGATTATATTATTCTTTTCCATTTTGATATTATCCTTCATCTTTATTTATGAAAATATGATACTAGTGGTCCTGACATTTTCCAAGATTCTTACGGTAATGTCGTTCACTTTTGGAAGATAATACCACCAAAATGTATATAGTATTTTTTCGAGAAAATCCACCAAACCCCATAAGAGAGCTTAAACATTTATCATTCCTCCCATAAAAGTTTTATTATCTCGACTAACTTGCTCTAAGAAAAAAATATATACATATATACTTATAATAATATTTTTAATGTAACGTTTATCCCGTTCAACGGAAAAAAAAAAAAAAAAATGTTAGCTGACTAATCTAACTAGAATTCTACATTTTCAAACTGCGTAACGAGCTATGTGGTTTTTTAATTTATTTTTTAATTTAATATAAAAAATCAATCGCGATATACTTACACGTAGCTTGAACATAAAATAAAAGTTTAATAGAAAAAAAATTAAAAAAAATAAAAAAAATAAAAAAAAAAAAACATACTTTGATATCGTATAGAAATCGTAAAACCAAATTTTATGTGGCAACCTTTTAAATCTAAAACATCATTCATTATTTCTAAATAGAAAATTTTGCTGACGCACGTCGATTAGAAAATCCATTATATGTTGAAACAATCTGGGTATGTCCGTTATTGTGCATTAGTTTTAGAGTTTCCTTTGTTGAAAGCATGTTAACTATATAATATTATAGATTTATCTAGTATTCCCGTTCTAATGGAATTCATTCGATCGAATTAATGTGATGCAAATTGACACATCGAAATAATTCGATGTACAAAAGGCTTTTATACAATATTAAAATTGTCCTTGTTTTAAGTATTTTTGAATTTTATTCCTTGCACAAACTCTTATACGGTTTAAAATAAATTAAAAAAAAAAAAAAAATAAAAAACACTTAATAGAAAAATAGTATTGATCTGTAATTTATTTAAAAAATAAATGAGCGTATTTAGTTTGATTAAGCGTTGTCAAGAAAAATAACGAGTTATTGTACGTTATTGATGATCATGCTTGTGTACGTGTATTATACGTTAAGAACAATTTAAATTAGTTAGAAAATATTCATTTAATTACGTTCAATCGATTAATACAATACTTTTGTAATGATATTTTCCAATTCATATTCTAAAATTTTCCAAGATATGTATGCTACTCTATAATTTGATAATTATCTGATAAATCTCATATCTTTTTTTACTTATGAAAAAATATATTTGAATTTTTTATAAATTTAAATACAAGATCTACACGATTATTTAACCAATCAGCGTTAATTCCGTGACGTTCGTATTGAAGATCGCAAGGTCGCTTAGTTGCCCAGTTAATTTCAAGTAATTAAAAGATATTTTATTACGTACAATCTCTTATTATATATCAAACGATTGTTACGTAGAAGATTTAATACACGTGAGTATTTTTAATATGAAATTATTTATAAAAAGTACGAAAGATATATAAGTGAAAATAAAATGTTGTTACTTATAATAATATTTTTGCAATTTTTTCCGATTATTTCAACATTAAATTTGATTCATACAATATAGGTAACTCGTTCACAAACACATGGATACATACTCAAGTGTTTGATTTTTTATACACATTGTACTAATACAATCTTATTTTTTATTTTTTTCAGGTTACCGAGTTTTGGGAGTAAGCAGCGTGAATTTATAGCAATTTTTGGATATAATTACTTCACAAAATTAAGTATAATATAATTTTAATAAATAGTATCTGATTCAGATTTCATTTTGCATTCCCCACAGCCTACCGCCCAGTATATGTGTCGTCATCAGAAAAAATCCTCCAGAGCCAACTGTAGACTCCTGACAGTATTCAAATTATGCTCTGCAGATGAAGAAAAGTTCGAGGAATTCACAGATATCAGGTAGTTGCACCTACGTAAATTTTTTATGAATATAATTAGTCTTCAAAGTAAGCATAATTTTACTATTTTTTTACTATTTTCTTTTGCTTCCATTTCAAGACTGTTTTATTCGATCTTATATTTGATATTATTAAACAGTGTTTTTTAATTATATACGTAGTGTATAGGATAGTTTAAAGTGTTTAATATATTAATTTAAAGCTGATTTTAAAAAGCATCACCCACAGCCTACCACCATGCATAAGTAAAATGAAGAAATGCATACCCCACAGCCTACTACACCGTATAGGTGCCATCAGAAAAAATCCTCCAGACCCTACTATAGGTCACTTGCTGCATTACAAATATTATCTAGGGTCGAAGAAAGGTTTAAGGAATCTACCAAAACCTTCTAGTGCCATCTACGAATTGTTTTTTTTTTTGTTATGTGGAACTTCCAATGCTAACTGTTCATATTACATACAACTGTTCAATCATGTCGTTAATGAAAGATTCTAATGAGGCTACTGATTGTAATTATTTAAATGAATTTTTCAAATGCAATATGTACGTGTTTGAATTATTTTATAAGAGATGATAAGAATTAAAGATAATAATAGATAAGGCTAAGTAATTGTACAAGATTTTTGACATTGACATTTTTCATTAAGAAACATCTTTTTAGAAAACAATTAACTAACTTAAATATCTCTTTATTTCTTTTTCTTTTTTTTTTTTCTTTCTCTGTTTATCTTCCGTTTCATTGATCGAAATCCAATCAAGAACGGCAAACACATACGAGAAACATTACACGTTACATAATTGTTTCCACCATGACTACGCATTTATTCTGTCTCCTGGAAATGAAGTCATTTGTTATCACCTTGATTAACAGTTAATGCATTGCTGTTTATAACGCACTAGATCAGATAATAGTTATTTAAAAATGTTTATCATAAAATTCAACATTGAAAATTATAAATATATTCTTGAAATAATATTGAATAATATTTGGAAAAATTATATCTTAAAAAATCTTTAAATAATATTTTTTAAATAATAAAATACAATGTGTATATATATATATATATTAATTAATTAATTACATTTTTAAAGTTAAAAACATCAAATTGTAATATAAATTTTATTGAAAAAACTTATTAAAATTTTTTATTGATTGAAATAATAATTGAAATTATATTTAAATAATAAAACGAATTATTTATATATCTAATTGTTATCCTAATGGAAAGGAAATAAAAAGAAATTTCAAATCTTTCAATAAAACATTTACGATTATAAATAGCATTCATTAAATTGTTAATATAAGTTTAGTGTTATTTATATGATTTATATTAACGGAAAGTAAAGGAAACTAAATTCGAAGTATACTAAAATACACTTGTGTTTTCCTGTTATTTCTTAGAAATAGATTCATTGAAAAATAAGTCGCATTAACGTGTATTTATTTACTGCAAATATCTTATCTCACGTGTGTGTGTGTGTGTGTGTGTGTGTGCATGTGTATACAAATTTTATGAAATCAAATCTTTTTCTATAATTATTTTCCTTCTATTATAGATAAATCAATCAAAATACTAAGAAAATATACGTAAATATATTAACAAGATTTTTTTTGATCAAATTCCCTCGTATGCAAATTAGCAAATATTTTTATTCATATACGTAATTCAATGTAATATTTTAATTATGAAAAAAAACAAAACAATATATATAGTATATTTATGTTATATTAATTTAATATTAATTAAATATTTAAAATATATTTAATTTATTATTTAATAATATTTTATTGTAGAATATAATTAATAAATTGTAATGAATTTTATTTTATTTTTATAAATTTAAATTATAAAGTAAGGAATAATATAATTAAAATAATAATATATTAAAAATTATAATATATTTAATTTTGTTATATATATATATATTAATTCTAATAAATTTAAAAATACATAAATATTTAAAATATATGTAATTTATTATATAATAATATTATTATATTATAAAATATAACTAGTAAATTATAATAAATTTAAATTATTAAATAAAGTATATATATATATATAGTATACACTTATTAATTACATAATTAAAAAAACATTATTGTTTAATTATATAAATATTATAATACTATGTTAATTAATATATAATGAATATAATATATATATATATATATTTTTCTCGATTAATATTCGATAATAATATTCATGCATAAAATAACATTTGATGTTACATAAATAAAAAGCAAATGCAATTTCGCATATTTATAAATAAAAAAAAAAAAAAAAAAAAACGTTCAAATGAATAGATGAATAGGTTATTATTATTAAAATATATATATATATTTGTTTGACGTAATAGTATAACGTCATGATGAATAATTTTGTCATAAAATTAAATAATTATTAATTCGTAAGCTTGTATGTATATTATAAGAAATATTTTTCTTGCCTAATTGAGTCGTTTGAAAAAATGTCATTTCGATGTATAAGTAAAGAACGTGTAAGCAAATGCATGATTGGCGTCATACGAAGATACGTCATTGAACTCGTGAGGTGTTTGGCCGTAAATGATGCCTGGAGTCTTATTTACGATATTTGAAAGAAAGGAAGAAAGATAAAAAGAAAGAAAAATAAAGAGAACATGAGAGAGAGAGAGAGAGAGAGAGAGAGAGAGAGAGAGAGAGATAGAACGTAAGTGAAGGAAAAGAAACTGGGATTTACCACGAGTTAAAGAAAAGTAATTTGAAACCTAATTTAATATGATTGCAACGCGATACTTATCGGTCAGTGCACTTTAATTAAAAATCATATTTAAAAAGATTGAAAAGTTTTAACGATAACAGTATACTTCATTAATTCACATTTTTCTACTTGATTCGTCCTTGAATGTTAAAACCCACTAATCATAATCATTTCAGGATAAAAAAGAAATATAAAATTATAATTAAATTTTGTTGCAAGTACTTCTTATTCTTCTTTATTTTTTTTTTTTTATTTTTTTTTTGTTTTTTTTTTTTTTTTTTATTTGAAAAGAATCTTTTTTTTATAAAAAATATTTTATATACTATTTAATTATATGTTATTATATAAATTAATGAAACTAATTATATTTTATTATTATTAAAATATTAGAAAAATATTTTATATAATGTTTTTATTATAAAATATTATTATTATATATTTATTATAAGATATTTTAATTTTATTAATTATAATATTTTTTATTTATTTAAAATATAAAAAAATATTTAAAATAAAATAATTATAAAATAAAATACAATATATCTTAATTTAATTATAATAATATATAATATTTATTTAACTAAATATATATAAATAACTTTGTTGCAAGTTACGAGTTTGAAAATTTTTAAATCATAGATATCTTAATATTTTACCTTAACCAATCGCATAATTCTGTTTCAATGATTGAAAAAAATATAATTAAAATCTATAAGTAAAAAAAAAGAAAAACAATAGATTTATTATTTCAAAATATCAATAAGATCTTTGATATTATTCATAAAAGAAAACCGGTTATGTAGATTGAAGGGAAGAGATGGAAAGGGCTGTAGAATGGAATTCGAATAGCCGTCAATCAATTTTGACGATTAAATAAAACAAACTAAAAATTTAAAAGGTTAAAGTAATTCATAAGAATTGATGGGGAGGGGGGGGGGCGGTGCATTGGCCACGAATTATGTTCGTTGTTGTTTCTATTTATTTACGTCCATGCAAATAAATATACGTTGACATGTTGTTTAGATAAAAAACAAAAAAAAATTGAATATATAAATGCGAGAAAAATGAGGAAGAAAAAGGAAACAAGTAGTCTAAAGTTGATGAAAAAGATTTAAATAAAAAAGAACACTGAATCTTTCCGTCCTTATCCTAGTTTATGAGAAATCGTAAGATAATATAATCGTGTCATTATATAAGAGTCGTATAGTCTAGGATATCTACGATTTGAAAAACATTTATTCACGTTACTTTGTTATTTGATGATTCATTATTAATACTATCATCATTATAAATATTTGATTTATTACGATAAAATTATAATGTATTAGACACAATTTAAATTATCGTCACCGATGATATGAACGGAAAATGATCATTTTTATAAAAAGAACAAAGAAAACATAAAAAATTATATTAGATGTAATTTATTTAATGTGATATTGTTTCAAAATTATTATTTACAATATTTTTGTTGTATTACATTAAAAAAAAAAAAAAAAAAGAAAACAGAAAGAGAAAAAAAAAGAAAAGAAAAGAAAAGAAAAATTTCGAATTATAATTTATTTTATTTTTTTTTTCTTTGCATTTTGTAATGAAATTGTGTGTGTGTGTGTGTGTGTGTGTGTAGGTTGTTGAAATAAATGACAAAAAAAATAAAGAAAAAAAAATAGAGAAAAAAACAAATCAGTATATAAATAGTATATCAGAACAAAAAAAAAAACGTTATTAAATATTATAATATATCTAATCACATTTTCCATAATCGATGTCAATTTCATGGAATTGAACCGCAATTTCAATTGTGGTGCAATAATACGACACTCGATCTTTAACGAGTTCGCATTAAATTCCTCTTTTTTACTGTGGTTGTTTTTTTTTTCCTTTTCCTTTTGCTTTTTCTTTTTCTTTTTCTTTTTTTGCTGTTTTCAACAATTATTTTCATTAACACGCCTTTGCTTATAGTTCTCTAGAAAACTGGATTTTCTTTGAATATCGTGGAAATACCATCGATAGAAAACGATGGAAATATTTCTAAAGAACTTTATACGAGACAGTCAACACAACGATGATGATGATGACGATGATGATGATTCGTTATTTAATAGTAAGAGATGTTTTTTATTTTTTAATTCCGTTTTTCTTTTTTTGTCGTTGTTGTCAGTTTTTTTCTGTTTTGTTTTTTTGTTTTTGTTTTTTACCGATATCCAACGGAATAAACGAGCCGAGTCGGTGATAATTAGACAAAATTTTTCATCATCCACTTATCTTCACCTTCTCTTCCAATTTTTCTTTTAACTTTTTTTTGTTTGTATTTTTTTTCTTTCTTTTTTCATCGTATTTCTTTTTTTTTTTTTTTATTTATGATGATATTATACCGATGATATTATAATCATTGTAATAAACGTTCTAACTATTAACAAGTATAATAACGTAGTATAAAGAATGTACTTAAATTTTGTTTTAACAAAAAGTGAAACAAATATAAATAAAAATAATGAAACGAAATATAACCTTGAATAATTATTGAAAAAAAAAGACAAAAATAAGAAGAAGAAGAAAAAGAAAAAAAAAAGAATATAATCTTTCAAATATTCGCATACCTGAGCGAATAATTGAACGAAAAATAAAACGGTCTGTTGTTCGCAAGAATATATTTTTTTTTCTTTTTTTTTTTTCGTAAAAATCAATAACAATCGTATTTTCAAATTAAAAAATCCGTTTTATCTTTCTCATAATATATTTCTTTCTTTT